CAAGTCACATTTTTTTCATGTCAATGGAATTCAGTTATCTGTATACAACATTCAATGAAAAGCGGATGCAGTATAGTATAGACTTTAGAATATTACGAAATGTTAAGGTATGATACAAAACTAAAAGTATCCAGTTGACAGCTATAAAATTCCGTCACATGAATCACTGGAATGATGGAATTGTATTCAAACTGTCTTTATTGTCATCTTTTATTCACTTGTCATGATTATTTTCCTTCGTTTTTCGTCAAAACATTATACTTCATGTTTAACGACTATCGTTTATTGTGATGAGCTTAGTTACGTCACTTCAGTCATTATTAGTCTAGTTCACACTGTTTTTTTTTTTACAAATTTTGTACACAGATCTAACAGCAGAGAATCTTTACAACCCTGCATGTGATATACACATACGTTCTTAGCATGTGATTAAATGTGACTATAAAATACAGCTGATCTTTTTCAGTCTATACACTATGACGTTTTCATGATAAAGCAATTCAAAACTCTCTCCACTCTGAGAAATACGTGTTTTGACTGAAAAAACAGCACCTTAGGGATATAAAGTAAATGAGTTCAGCTCTTATTACCATTCGTAATATACAAGATTTAACGGGAGTATATAGGGAGGCAAAAACTGTAAAATGAATAACTTATTTATTTTCTTCGTATCATATTATTATTTTCCCCTTGGGTTCCTAGTAGAACTTAGGGCTTCAGTAGCACGCCTCCGTAGCACTCGTTTCTCTGCAGTCTGTTGAACCTGACACCATGACTGCCTATAACCTTTCACTTCTTCCTCACATGATCTCCTCTACGTCACCATCGCCTCGGAAGCCCAACTTGTCGTTTCTCATGCACATTCCACTTCACGCATTGGACTGGCGCGTAACATTTCCAATCAGCCTTCTCAGTGTATACACAATCCATCTCCACTTTGTTTCTGCAAATTTGTTGGGTGATGGTTTCTTGGTCGGTTCGTTGCCAGAGACTCTTGTCTCTAATTCTCATTATTCTGGCAATCTGATCTTCAGTATCAAGTGATCCAGCGTAGTCGGCAGCTGTTGATGTATGATGTCTGTAGTTTGTTGGAAATGCTTCTCGTGACACGCCAAGATTCTGAACCATCACATCGAAGCACTGACTTGGCCGAATTGGTGTTGAAAATACGGATCTTGTTCTTTATGCTGAGTTGAGTACAGTAGATCTCCACACTGATTTCAGATTAGTGAAAGCCTGTATTCCTGTATTTCCGATCCTGGTTTTGACATCGTCGTCCGTGTCGCCTGTAGTTAAAACGTTGGTGTCTAGATAGGTGAAAGAGACAACTTCCTTTAGGTTTCTCCTGATAATGGTGGTTGCTGCTTGTTGTCATTGTTGTTGTTGTTGGTTGAGTATCTTCATCACCTCCGTCTTCTGTACATTCACTTGAGGTCCCGTCTTTGTTGCCCTACCTCTTCTGTCAACTTCTTGATGATTTTTGTCTGTAGATCTTTGAGTTTGTCCAACAAGACGTTAAACATAGATCGTGGTTGGCGAAATCCAAATCTTCTTCTGTGGTCTTTTCATCGGTGCAGCCAGCGTATGCCCATCTTCTCGCTCCTCACTGTTTGCTGCACGATCCAGTCTACCACATCGGTGATAATAAGCGGCAACCTTGTCTTACTATTATCTCTACTTCAAAGGCGTCGCTGAGCTTTCCATTGTGGATCACCTGGTAGGGTTAGACCTTTCATATAGCTGTTGAATAAGGTTCATAAGGGTTTGTGTCACTAAAATCGTAATGTTGTAGCAGTTGCCAAATCACTTCTCGGTAGACGGTGTTAAAGGCCTTCTTAATGTCGACAAAGTTTAGTTAGAGAGTTGACTGCCATTCTATACTCTGTCCTATGATGGTGCGTATCGTAGCTTTGCTATTCGATCCGCAGATGATTTTTTCTTCCTGAAGCCAGCCATCCTGTTCCGGTCGTGGCTTTGAATCCAGCGCATCCTTTAGTCTCTCCAGGATCATGCGGCTTGATATTTTGCTTGCAGCATGATTCGGTGCCAGTTCTTGCAAAGGCCTAAGTCTCACTTCTTCGGGAGTTTGACAAGGTAGCCCTTCTTCCAATCAGTAGGCACGTACCTTTCCTTCCTTCCGAACCGTCTTCAGTAGTGGTATGAGCGTGTCTGCTGTTATCTCTGCTTCTTCTCTCAGTGCTTCTGATGGAATTCCATCTGGTCCTGCTGCTTTCCCGCATTTCAGCAGCCGTATAGCATTCAGAACTTCGGCTTTTGTCAGTAGGCTTGTGTTCACTGGTAGTTCTGCCGTTGCTGGTTGTATTTCTGCACGAGTTTGCAGTTAGTGGTAGTGGTCGATTCAAGAGTTTTTTGAAGTGGTCAGCCCATTGTTTCCTTTGTTTCTCCATTTTCTTCCTATAGCGTAATTATATAGTGTTTTGATTGTTTATTTGCCTTAAATCTCAACTTTTACGCTAAAATACACCACACATTTATTTGAACAACTTCATTAGTTGCCTAAATTTATATATTCAATATTGTCATTAACCGCGTTAACAATGCCATGGTCAATAGTATTCCGTCCTAAACTGTCCATCATACATTCAAGTTAATCATCTCATGCTATACTTTTATTGTAACTTTAAAATTCATTTTTCTGAATCATTTCAGCTACTGTTTAATTATATTTAAATATGTTCCACTAGATTTCGTCAAAATTATACGTGTGTAGCTTTTTGAATCATGTGAATAATTTCCTTAATAAACAAAAATACCAATCTACTGACATTAAAATATGGTCGATATGATCATGTAAATTATAGTGCGTAATGCCATTCAAACATTTTGTGACAAATAAATGGTAAATATAAACAAATTATTGCTCTCATACAGTAAATGTATTTATTCACCTCTGTGTATTGTTTTTTATGCTAGTGGGATGAATTCATAATGGTCTTATTTTTAAATGACACAAGAATGGGCATAATGAATACATTAAGGGATACTTTTACGTTGTATTGTATAGTTAGTCTTCGAGCTAATATAGTGTTATATATATATATATATATATTTTTCTAAACTTAATAAACAAATACTGTTCTTGATATCTGTTATCAAAATAACGAGGTAGCAGACTGGTGAACAAACAATTGTACCATAATTTTTATCAGAATATTTCCACTTGCGTAATTGGATTAGCAGCTTAAATTTTCACAAGGATATTCGTAGTCCATATTACTAGGAAATTAATTCTCTGAGTTAATTATATTTTTCAAGCGTTTTTTTTGTTGTTGGCCATTTATGAATCATTTGAAAGTGTGGTGCTGAAACACTTACAAGCCATGCCTTATAATGTTAGTGGGTTGTTTTTTGTGTAAGTAGTTATGAAGTTGTTATTACAAAGAAAAGGTTCTTTACCACTTTTTTATCGATTTTCTCGATTGGTAGGCGAATGAGAAATTAAGTATTTGGAAATTATCACTCTTTGTAATCTAAAATTTCTCCAGTTTATAGAAATAAATAGATCAAAACTGTGAAGCAAGTAATACAAGCCATCGAATTCGCCTTGCTTGACAGTTTTTGCTTGAAGAGTTAATTTATAAAGAGTCAGTAGTGCACAGAATCTACATCATTCGCCTAAGTGAAAATGTTTCTCCATTTTTCATCTTTATATCCGGATTTTACTGACCATTTCATACTCGGATTGATAGCTAACTGTGCTTCAACTAATTCAGTATTATCGAGGAATCATATCATTCCTTCATTATTTTATTTGATTCAACAACATGAAACAATGTATTTAACGGTGAATGCCTGAAGGCAGTACACAGTCAACAAAGACGTATGACTATCACCGATTTATCCACATGGAAAAAGTATATCTCAGAGTTTTATAGAAAGTTTATCAAAACTCAGCTTTGTTGCATTGTTTACAGAATCCAATTTTTACTTTGGTAAACAATAAATCAAATCACGTTTAGCGGAAAATATTTCAAGGTCTTTTGTGATAACATAGCGGTATAAACTCGTGCAACACAGGACGTTAGATTTCATACCATTATTGATAAGGGTTCCTATGTGATACTCATGTAAGCTGTCAGCAAGTAAAGCAAAACATACCAATAACTTTCACATCATTTGAAGTGTGTTAATTTGTTGCACTGGTTATTTGTGTCATTACTTGTGTTAGATCTAAGGGAAGTAGACTAAAAGTATGAAACTGTTTATGTACCCCGAGAGAGCGCAACACTTGGTAGTTAGATTTCCACGCTTTATTATTTATCTGTAAATATGTAAACGCTAAATTTAAGATTCGTAAAAAACTGTATTTTGACCAGTAGTAAATATTTGGGGATGATGGATTACATCAAGCTAATAAATTGTCACATCGTTGTCACCAAAATGTAGCTTGTGATTCACTTTGTCAATAAAATGTAAATAAATCAATTTTTCAACATTGTTTGACTGGAGGTCAATTTTGACATCTAGCCGAGCACTCCGTCTATTTATTATGACTGGCGAAATCTGTAAGTATATCTGTTCATTTGACTTGGACAATTTTCCTACCAGACTAAAACTCCTTGATATTTGAAGTTTCTGTAAAAATACATATTTTGTTAGTTAAAGAGTAAAATGTGGGTAATCTGATAGAGTACAACTCCATATCTAATATAAAATTACTTGTTTTATTCCTTTTCCATCTAATTTTGATTATTATGAAAATCGGGCACCGAATAACTCAGCGGTAACGTCGTGTACTACAACAGTGAATAACCTGGGTTTGAGTGCAAAAAAACATGATATGTAGTTGAAGCAGAGCTTCCTGAAGATTACGTCTATTTAACTACCGTACTACAAAAATTAATAGTTACTGCATTTGCGTAAAAATATTACAATATACACGAGTACCTTATTGCATGATTCTCATGATTTATTAACCTTCTTTGTAAAAAAAAACCCAGATTCTACATGTGGACGTTGAATACACTTCCAAATGAAATATGACAACTCAAGCTATACCTATTAAGAATAATTCTTCACTTATTTCGTTAAAACCCGGTCAAGATGACTCGTAAGTTTTTGTTCTGTTTATTAATTACTGCATTTTAATTATTAACATATTTTTTTGATGTTTATTTTTGCTCGTAAATGTTGTTTAACCTTTTAGTAACTGCATGAATCTGAAAGGAGGTAGATAGAGAGAATATTAGAACTTTGGTAGATTACTACTTTTCAGCAATATGCTAGTTTTCAGTCATAAGTTTCACTGTAGGTCAATAACACTTATGAAAGCCAATAATTTTATTCATTCCCAGTAGTTTTTTCTATACTGAAGAAAAAAGTTAATTAGAACTAATTATCAACAATTATCCAATAAATCAATAGCTATACGACTGAATGAAGTTACATAAGAAACTAACAATTTCTGTCAATGGACATTTGTGAAGAGGAATACAACATCCAAAAGTATCATTCTTTTACCTATTGGTTCTTTTGTGACTTCATTCACCCCCATAACATAGATGTAAGTATTTTAAATCGCTGTTTAAATCAGCTTCTTTTTCGATGTACCCTCAGTGCATGCTTCAGATATATTAATAAGATCAGTATTCGTGAAGATTTTGAATCTGTAACAACCATAGACTTACCTTATAAGGTAACATTATATGGTAAGCACTTCACTTCTTAAAAAAACTACTCATTGAGATAATAATTTCAAAAACTCCAGGAATATAATTGTAATCACTTCCATATATGTAATGCTGAAGGGTGACTTGATTGTTTTAATGAGTACAGTATCGGTACATGTAACTGACTACTGATATTACAAACTTGCTTCTCAATAAGTTAATACTGCAACTGCTTTTATCCACTTGAATCAGAAACGAAAAGACAAACTGGTAAAGTGACTTGAAATCATTTACGTTTCATAAAGTCTATTGACTCTGTATGCATGTAATATCATATGCACCTCAATTATAATAAACTAAAACGATGATCACTACTTTTTTCATCTCTATGGTTATTACCTTTGTCAATAATATCACTAATATTATCTATGTTGCTGATTTCATTGTGATTATTTTGCCTTCAGTTTTTATTAAATCACTTATATAATACAGAACACCAATTAAAGATATCTGAAATAGATTATCCCTTACTGTTATTAGATGAATTGTTTTGTCTAGCTCAATCAAGTTTTAATGTCCTAAGTTTACATATTCAATAGGCCTATGTAAAATATTTAAGGCAGTAAAGCTTTTATTGAATCAAATCAAGTTTTTTGCTGTTGTTATTGGCTTGCAAGAATAGAGAATATGGTGTTACTCTTTAAAGGATATTTTGTTTATACATTATCACAGGTTAGCTATATAGAGTGTTAGTAACATAAAATCAAAATTCAAGTTTAACTGCTAATAATTATTTTTTTTAATCATTTTGGCTAGTATCAATACTGGATAATGACTGAAGCTGAACTAAAAATTTAGGCCGTGGCAGGACTCGAATCAGCGGCCACTGGATTTTCGGCCCAGTGCTCTACCAACTGAACTACAAGAGTTTACTCCTGACAGATTTTTATTTCACTTCAATCAAGTAGATTTGGATTGAGATTGGACAGCCAGTGTGAGTACGATCAGGTGGTATTAACATGTCAAGAATTCACATTGTAGTTCAGCAAAACCTTCAGTGAGTGAAACGAAATAGAAATCGGGTCAGCAGTTTAGTCTCATAGTCCACTTTGTAGGACACTGGGCGGAAAACGCGAGCGTCGCCTGTTCGAGTCCCACCGAAACCCAAATTTTCATCTGACTTTCTGTCACCACCTAGTATTAGTAAGTATTTGAAGAAAGTAAAATCCAAGACGTTTGAAGAATAAAATGAGCTCCCCTTATCTCACAGCCTTTCATCATTAGTAAACAGCCTACCATTCAAATGAAATATTAGTACAAATTATGACATAACGTACTTTAAATATGGAGAAATAATTGAATATTTGAAATCCAGGATTAACAATAAGGTAGTGAGTCGAGATAACATGAATTATAATCAGAAATCTGAGTCAAAGTCAGTAGCGGTTCAGACAGAAAATTTCGGAGCTGTAGAAAGAGGGACGTCAACAAAGTGGTAGGAGTGTAAAAATGTTCTTAAAGAGCTAGTAGGTTATATAGGGAACCGGAAAACTTTAGCGCAAGTAATTAACAGTCAGTAATTAATAGGTGAAGATGGCGAGAGCTTTCGCAAACCATGATAAACATGCCACTCTTCTTTTGTTGATTATCATAAAGTACTAAAAAACGTCAATTCGGCGTCTTGCTTTTATCAGTTGCCTGGTGATTGTGCTGTTAAAGAACTTGCCACCTTTCAGACACAGATTTCTAAGAATGCACCCGTAAAATTGAGTAGATTCTACTCTTTAGCCCCTTCCTGTGAAATTGCTTCCACAAACACAGGTGAATTGATATGCGCAGTTGGACGTGACGTGAGCTGGATATATGTCTACTTTCAACTGTGTCTTGTAATCTGAGATTAGTCTGGCCACAGAGCAGCTTCTTCTCAGTGCAGCTTTTATTCTTCTGTCCACTCTTTCAGATATCCTATCATCCTTGAATGCAACACGAAGGGAAACAGGTGTCTCCTCAACAATTGGATATTTGGGCCTCTCAATATATTCTTCTCCATGCATCACAATGAGTTTCTACCGATATCCATTCTACATAAAAGTATTCCCAATATCAGCGAATTCATCTTCCAGTTTGGCTTCTGAATATATTGATCTTATCCCGGTGGGGAGCGTCCTGACTAAACCTTGCTTATAGCTGACAGGGTAGCGAAAATTACAGTGAAGGTAGTGGTCAATTCAAGTGTCTTTGCTGTGATGGTTTTCTCAGCTGTACCTCCGGCTTATGCACAGATTCAAAAAATTGAAACTGATAACTAGGCAGCTAGATCAATAAAGAACTTTCTATAACTATTTATCTGTAGGTTTGAAGTCAAGTTGGATGCCAGGCACAACTTATATGCAGAATGTTCAAACCTCGGTCACTAAATACTGAAGTCAGAGACTTCAGCGCTAAAGTATTTAGTTCAAAAGTCTATTCTATAACAATGTTCTCTACATGTATTTCCTGATTCCTACATACACACTAGGGTTACTATATTTCAGGACAGTTTTCAAAATCTATTCTGTCTTTTCAAGTCTAGTTAATGTTCTTCATCACAGAGATATACTTATTACAACTAAGTATATTTTCAATCGATTATGACTCTATCATCCATTTTGGTGACTAAATATTGTATTCTTTTACAATGCACAGATATGGTTGAAGTCAAAAAAGATTCCTTTTTTCATTTGGTAGGGAACCAACTAGAATCTGAAATTGTAAAGACAGATTACTTGTCAACCATAATTATAACTAAACATGTCTTGCTTGCTAGGAAATTTTCTAAATAACTATCTGTAGAAGAACAGGGAAATATTTTTGTTAACCTAACTAAATATCAATGTTGGTTAAAAAGTTCGACCAATGTACAAATTATTGTCTATTGCAGTTTTACAAAAATACCTTTTTCATACACTAAGCATTGGGTTCATTGGTTCATATATTGTTGATCCCATGCAATTAGTCAATTTGTTCATCGTGCATCACCTCACGCCCACCTCTCGTGGGCTGTCTAGATTGCTTGCTGTTTATTTTATTAGACACACTGTACAATCTCGTGCAAGGAAGAAATATACTGTTAAAAATCCCTCATATTCCTTCTTTACTTATTTTTCATGATGCAATGTACTTTCTATTCCCAAATCCTTCCTTCTATGGTGATAGCTGGGTCGATTAATGCAGTTATAGTTCCCCTTTGGATTTTAATAACATTAAACTTGATCAGTTTGTATGGCAGTTTCTTTGCTAATTTTGAGATGCAGATTATCTCACCTTTATGTATAAAACGAAATGGTATGCTTCTGCATATTAACATCTAGTAGATTTTGTATGAATTTCAGAAAATGATATTACCCCCACTTTTTAGTCTTGTGTCACTTAACTAATTTGCTGAGGATTGTAATTATTTTTGCAGTCTGATGACTTCTTGAAGAAATTCGTAAAATAAACAACAAAATAAGCCATTCAATCAGTAATCAAAAATATAAATGTAAACACACTAAATGAAAATCGATAATCATCGGTTGAAACATTTATCTCCAATCTTTTCAGTAAGAACGAAACAGTTAAGATTTGTGACTGTCAAACACATGCCGAACTGTTTTTATTTTCCAATTTTCCCTACTGTTCGTCAGATTTATACATATTCCTGTGTTAAATCTCTTTTAACTTACCATATGATTAGTTAAAATACTTTGGAACTGGTGTCTTGAAACTTCATGACGATGAAGTAGAAACTAAAATCATACAGAAAATCTTGCTCAGAAATCACTCCGTAGCTTTTACATAACTAGCTTCTTGTATTTATTTGTTTGCGCTCCTGAGTTAGGCTTTCCAAGAGATGTCGATTGTCGTCATTGGATACAGTAACAGGATAACTCGTCGCTTGAATACTGATTTTAAAATGTATGAGACTGTAATCTCAGAAATATGTCATTTTGAAGAAGTTCACTTGATATTGTTTTGGATGGATGGATGATATTGTCTTCAACATTACTAATAACAGCCAGAAAATTCATGAACACACTTTTGTGTCATGAAATTATGTGAACTTAACTGACCCGTTCCATTTTCAAGTGATGAAGTAGGGTTGTCAGAGAGATGAAAAGCATTGGGATATTTATTAACTTTGAAATTGATATTAGGGATATTCTTACTAATCACCACTAAACAATGATGCCCTTAAATTTGGAAGTCCAATGAACACATGTTATCACATCCTACAATTTTTTAAGTCTTCATAAATATTTTTTCCTGCTGTATTATGTGAAATTCCATTCTTTAAAGAAAAATAACTAAAACAAACACCCCGTAGAAAAATTCTTGTCTAAAGATAAGCATCATCTTCGCATGAGTTAAGAACCATTCAGTCTTCACTCTTCAATGCACAAAGCTAAGAAATTGAAATCAA